ACCAGGAAGATACAACTCAAAGATCCTTCCCTACTTATTGTGTCACTTGATAGGCTGTGGAAAGGAACAACTTTAGAACAAAAGCTGGTTGGAAAATCAAAATTTCCCTCAGAAAACCAATATTTTTTACTGAATTTTTTTTTTTTTGCCAGAAATATTTTTTGAACAGATTTGAAGAAAAAAAAATTCCAGGCAACATTTTGAAACAAGATGAAAATTTGTCCCTGTGTTTTGATTCTTTAAACTAAAATGCTGAAATAGAACATTACATCAAGATAAAATGAAATCATTTTAATATTCCTTATGTGAAAATTGAAATTTTTCAACCAAATAGAAATTTTCCTGTAAAAAAAATTGTTTATAACAAAACCATCTTTTTGGAGAAAAACAACTTTCCACACAAACAATTCAACCATCTCTAATTAGATCTGTGTGAGAAAAAGGGACACACCTGGGCCCAATAGCCATGGGTGTTCTTCTAGATTTGCAGCACCATTGTCAACATTAAAAGGCATCTCCTCTCATTTTGGTATTATGGACCACAGTTTGCCATCTCTGAATTAGAACCTTTTGGGGGTATAGTATGATTTCAAGTATATTATCTCCACCTCCCCCACCCATGAGGGAATAAAATGCTGGAAATAGCAGCTCACATTGCTAACAAAATTCTGTAGCAAAAAGACCCATATCAGCTCATTTGTAGGGCAGGCCCCATGTCAGTTATCAGAATAACCTTGAGCAGCTGCTCATGGGTCAACAGATCAGAATGTTGCCAGCCTTAGAGATAGAACTTCATCTTAAGTGTTCCCTGCTTAAAGGATGCAAGACTGAGACACAATAAATAATTTTATCAGCCCACTAAGTGTCTACACAGCTCCAGAACTCAGCACCTTCTGCGGCACTGAACTGTCAGCTCACTTCTTAGAAAAAATCACCTGCATGCCAGAGGGCTTCTCAGGACACTAATAACTACAGATCAGACAAAAGCCAGAGAATGCAACCTTTCTTTAAATTTGACCCATTCACCCAACTGGAAATCTAAGAGGATCCCAGAAACTCCAAGCCATCACATTGCGACTTTGATCCTAGTCTTTCTTGCCCAGTGAAAGTTGAGTGCGCCTCGGACCCCTTCTAATAGAAATCATCCTCACTTCCTTTGAGGTGAGAATCATAGAAAGAAGGGATGGAAGAGACTTGTTTAGTCCATCCCCCTGCATTGAGGCAAGACCAAGTAAACGTAGAATATTCCTGACAGGCGTTTGACTAACCTTCTCTTAAAAACCTCCAATTTTATCTGTAAAAAGGAAAGGAGAGCTTGTGGCACTTAAGAGACTAACAAATTTATTAGAGCATAAGCTTTCGTGACCTACAGCTCACTTCATCGGATGCTGGACCACATTTTCCTAGTCTGCTTATGAGAATGTCACATGGGACTATATCAAAAACATTACTAAAGTCAAAATATAGCATGTCTATTGCTTCCCTCATCCATTAGCCAATAACCCTGTCAACGAAGGTATTAGGTTGCTTTTGCGTAATTTATTCTTAACAAATCCATGTTGGCTATTCCTTATAGACCTATTACCCTATAGCTGTTTACAAACTGATTGTCCACTACTGCCCCTCACCATCATCCCCCCACAAGCGCTGGCTTCCTCCGGGCTCTGGGGGTGCTCAACCCCCTGCTCCATCCCATGCCCCACCTCCAACCACCCCCTTTCCCCAAGCCCCCACACCATCTCTTCCCACTCCTGCTCCACCCCAGACCCCGCCTCCACCTGCCCCCTTCCTCCAAGCCCCAACCCCTGCCCTGCCTCTTCCCACCCAGATCTGCCCCCTCCTCTGAGCATGCCTTGTCCCTGCTCCTCCAACGCCTCCTGCATGCTGCAAAACAGCTGATTGTGGCAGGTGGGAGGTGCCAGGGGGAGGGGGGAGCTTGGTTGCTGGTGGGTGCTCAGCACCCACTAAATTTTCCGTGGGTGGTCCAGCCCTGGAGCACCCATGGAGTCAGTGCCGAAACATCCCCCTAAATTTAACATAATCCAGCCATTACTTAATAAACCATTGCTTGATTCAGCCAATCTCTGCAGCTACTAACGGGTATCTAATCTCCCATTCCTGTGCAGGCTAATGGTGAGGTTCACCGAGGGTATGCTGTGTTTTACAACCCACTGCCATAAGCCTGAGAGCACAGGTCTACGGACACAGGCTCACTCCCCTGCACTACAAACAGCAGTGCAGAAGCTGCCACTCACACGGCTGTCTGGGCTCTGAACCCTAATCCCTTCCCTTCCTAATCCCTTCCCTTCCATGGGTTTCATAGGTTAAGCATCTACACAGTGCTGTAACATGAGCCCCACAAACCCAAAAAGTCTGTAGACCTGGACTCCGAGACTGGTTGCTGCAGGTTTTAAAACACAGTGTAGATGTACCCAAAGGTCCCTCCAACTCTACCTGTAGGGCCAACAGTCCGGTCCTCTCCCTATCAGGCTTCACATGAGGACATGCAGCAGAGATGGCACTAGTGGCCCTGATGGATGATTTACTCCTGGCCATGGGCAAGAGCCATACATGGGCAAGGGTCATATATCCATGACACTACTGCTGGACCTCCACATAGCATTTGCTGGTATCTCTGACTCAAAGCCACTGGAAGTCAACAGTGGATTATTCAAGTGAATGCTCCTCCAATAACTTCTTAGAGTAAGGGAATTAAAGTACTCTTCTAGTTACGAATTTTAGCAAAAAAAGTCAGTAATGTATATAGTATTACTGCTTTAACAACAAAATCCCCTTTAGCCCATTGTAAATTATTATCCCAAGGCAAAAACCAAAAGCCCTTGTTAAATTGGAATACAGATTGGAAAAGTATGGGTAATTTAAAGCACACAAATCGTTGAGAATATTTTAGATTTTGGAAAAAAACAAACAAACCCACAAATAAGAAAAACATGGAACCTCTAAATTAAGGTTTAAAATTCACAGTTAAGTTAACCAAACAATATTTACTCTCCTTCTCTTGACCATTTTGGGGATTAAAGGAAATGGTCTTACAGCTGAATGATTTCAGCTCTTCCATGCTTGAATTTTAAGTCCTTTAGCACATGTTCTTTTCAGCATACTAAATTTCATGGGATTCTTTAATCAGAGCCTTTGTTGGGGGTACTCCATACACTAAGGGGGAACATTCCCCATAACATTAATCTATATTTCCTCTAGTATATCCTATGAGGGATTGTGTTTAGAGAGATATAGCCAGATTCTGACACTCTTCCTCATGCCGAGCACCACCTAACTCTACAAGTGGTCCCACTGGACTCAGCAGGACTATTCATGCAGCAAGGGCCTACACAGCACGAGAAGTTTCTCAAGAGTGAGAATCTGGCCCATATATAAATGGGCATTTGTAGATTTGAAAAGCACCCCATTACTGAGGGAGGGTGGCAAAGAACTCCCGTGCCATTTTAAACTGTTATTTAATTTCAAGCTCATACAACATGCTCATGGTCTGTTGGATTATGAACTTTTAACTAGACACAAGTGTGATGATGATATTCCTGTTCCACAGAGCCACATTAAAGGCAAGAAAAGCAATACTGTAACCAGCTCCTATTAATACTCTCACCAGACTGTTCATAAATGGAATCCGCAGCCACCCTCTCTCTCTGAAAGGTACAAGTTACGCCCATGGTAGCTAATGGAAATCATTCTGACCGTGTGGAGAGAATAGGGTCCCATATTTTCACATTAAGCCTGTCACTGTGGTTACCCAGGAATCCCAGTGGAATTCTCTACTGCTTCTCTCTGGTGAAGTTCAGTTTTATTGTGAGATCAAACTCCAGCTAATTCTGTTTGAATTTCTTGGGAAGTTCAGGTACAAACTCCAGACAGAGAGGACGATGGTGGACAACTGCCCAGGGCGTTGTGGTCAGGGGGGCACCATGGCCAAGAGGCAAGGAGCAGGGCAGTCCTAGGGTGTGAGGTCGTGGAAGGGAGCTTGGGGCAATGAGCAGGGGAGGCAGTGGGCCCACAGGGTGATAGGGGGAGCCCAGGGAGGCAATGGGGGCCAGAGGAGAGTCCCGATAGGGAGTGGGGGTCAGGGGTGATGGGGGGGAGCCCAGGGAGGCAGCAGGGCCCATGGGGGGTGAGGGGGAGTTCAGGGAGGCATCAGGGCCCAGGGCAATGGGGGGCAAGGAGGCCAAAATACAAGTTTGCCCAGGGCACCAATTTCCCTAACCACAGCCCTGACCTCACATTAACTGCTCCTGAATGTGTCTTGCTCTGCAATCCCCAGCTTCTACCCTCCCAGACACAGAGATGTTGCAGAGCTATCTGTGATCTGCACTTACCAGGTGTGATACCACGGATTGTCTCTAGCAAAATATTTGAGGTTTTAAAATCTGATTCCCATCTTCAACTTCACCGATTTATACTTCAGTGTCTCACACTGCACCAATTCAAAGAAACAGGCTGCTACTGGACCGTTCAATGTCCTGACACATGGATCGCTCAAACCCTGCTGAAGTTGGCCCAGAACATTTGACACACACAGCATAGCAGTGTTATTTAAATTGTATGGACTGTATGTCTGGAATTATTTACAGGCCCCATACTCAGGCACAGAGCTGGACAGGGGGATGAGACTGGATTTCACAATATAGAAGCCCACTTTGCTTGTCTTGTAGCAAGTTTCTTTATCAGGAATTTCTAAGCACTGAAGTCAGTCTTTCCTTGAAACCAAATCTGGGATCACAGTGCTACAAGAGTGGGACAATTCATAAATACGCACAGTTGGTGACTGGGTAAAATCTATGATTACTGTAAATATATAAACCTCCTCTCTCAAAATCACCTTTGGGAGCTAATTTGAGACACAAATTTACTTTAACTCAATTGCCTGCTTGCCCTTTGTCCACTGACTTCTGGAATAAAACACATTTCTAGTGGATTCTCAGTTCCAGTCTGCCCGGCTCAGTAAGAGAAATAAAGCAGGCACTTACCCATGGCGACCTGAAGAGAGAGGAGAAACAGCCAAAGCAGCTGAGCAGAGATATGTCCCTTCATTGCCATCCTGACCCCTGTGCCCTCCTGACACTGCACTGGCTTCTCTGTGTCTAACAAGTGACAACAAAGCAGTTGCAGGGAAATATATAGATTCAGACACTAGCATCAGCTGCCAGAAGGAACCAATAGAAACAACATTCACCTTTTTAGACATTATCAGAGAGTTTATCTAAAACTTTATGCAGCCAAAACATCCAATACAATTCTAAAACTCTAGCTGTGACCATATATGAGTGACGAGTCCGCTTCTGATGTCATGTTCGCTTCAGTCTCAGATCATCATGCAACCACCCTCCTTGGCACAGGGCAGAACAGCGTGAAAAATGATTCTGCCTTATTAGGCAAATAAATGTGGAGCCTTGAATGCTGATCATTGTATAATTTGAGAAAAATAAACCTCTAAAATCCAACCCCTCAGAGATGTTGGGGTCCAGTTTTAGCCACACCACTAAAACCACAGAGCTGGGACAGTACCCCTGGGATCAGCTGCATCAGAAACACAGGGAACCACCCCTGCTCCTCCTGTGGAACCTAGACTGCTCAAGGCCTCCTGAATGGAGCATGAATAGCAGTAGCAAATTGGCGGGAGGAGTGTGTCATAGAGCTTCCTTCTTAACATGTGACTATCACTGGCAACAGAGGCTTGTAGGGCTTTCTGTTCAGGCTGTTAGACCTTGTTCTTAATGCTTACTGATTTGATTACGAGTAGAGCCCATTGGGAATTTTCCAATGGACATCCAGACTCTGTGGCTCCAGACCAGGCCCTGTACACAGACTGCCTCAGAGTCGGGGACGTCAGGGCTTCCAGGGTCCCCTGAACCTTAGCTGAACTGGGACCTTTGGAGCTTGGATTCTCAGGCTCAGATTTCACTTCCGCTTGAGCCAGGGCTCTCAGGACTTCCTGGCAGCCAGTGGAGAGTCAGGAGTTTAGAAATCCTAGGAGCTACAGCTGAGCTCTCAGGCTCAATTTCCATTAGACATTTTCAAATGAATTTCTTTTTTCAGATTTTTGCTTTCATGGGAAATTTCAACTTTTTGTTCAGAAATAGAACGATTTTTTTTCAGGAATGGAAATTCCGACTTTCGACCAGGTCTGATTATCAGTGACTATCCCTGGTGCTGTAGTGTAGTTAGCAACCCTTTCCAGGACTCTCAGTGCAGGCCAGTATTTAGGGCTGCCCTGTGTGGTAACTCTAGGATACACAATCTGCATTAGTCCGCCTGGCAGCTAGAGAGAACCCCAGGGTCCTGCTTGATTGCATCAATCTGGATAGAGCTTCTGTTGTGTAGTCAGTGCAGCTGAATCCCACCTCTCCTGTACCAAGGAGAGCACTACATTGGCCATAAGGACATGAGGCCCCCAAGTGGAGACGTCAGCAAGGAAAAACAATGGAGCATGTTATGTAACACATTCAGGCAGTGGTTTTCAAACCGGGGCATGCCCTTCTAGGGGGAAGAGAGGAACGTTCAGGGGGGTTGAGTGGCGATGCTCAGGCTTCAGCTCAGCATGGCGGGGCTAGGGGAGGAAGTTCCACCTGCACCCCCAACTCACCTCTTTTTGTCTAGGTTGGGGAGGCGCAACCAAAACTTTTAACTCAAAGCAGGGCCTCAGCGCAAAAAGTTTGAAAACCACTGCATTAGGGGGCTGGTGGGTCCTTAATTTTGCATGGCAGATTGTAACACTGATACACACAAAGTGTAACAAAGGGGTAGGTGCGTCTTGAATATCACCAAAAAATGGGATGAGTAATTAATGGACAGCCCCCATCACTTCCACCCAGTGGAAAGGTGGCCAGGGGAGGGGCAATCAAAGATTAAATTCAGCCTGAAGAAGCCACGTGTCAGTGTTGAAGAATGGCTCACTGGCTGGCCTGCCCGCAGTGGCTGGGCATGGCATAGCAGGTTCCCCCTGACAACAGTCACTCCAGCCCAGCCTGGCCTGCTTCTTCTCAGGACTTGGCCCTCTGCCTAGCTCACTTATAGTCCTTCCTTTCCAGGATAGCAGAGAGCACCACAGATAAAAGTCCAGCAGCCTCACACTGAGTTTTTGATCCAAGTCCAGACTCACTAATCCTTCCACCCCTGGTCTCTGGGGACCTTGCACCACCCTTCTCAGTGGGCTATCAGGGTTCCCAGACCCTCCCTCTCCTCTGGATTGCAGCCTAAGGACCCTGTAGTGAGCAGGCAAAATCTGTCTGTTCAGATCCCACACACACGCACTGCCGCCCTGGGCTTCTTCCTACCTCAGTCTGTCAGCAGACCTTTTCCACAGCTTCTTCCTAGGCCCAGTATGAAACTGTATTTTTCTCAGCCTCCATGACCTCTCTATGTTCCCAGGCACCACGGCTTCTCCAGGCTCACCCTTCTTTCTGGGCCAGAGCTCACAGGGCTCCCGCATGGAGTTCCCCAAGCCCTTTTGGGCTTGAACATTCCTCCATCTTAAGTTCCCCCTGTGCTCCATTCCTCACCTGAGCACCTGCCAGTGCTTTCTCCTTGGAAATCCAGATCCTCTCTTTTATCAAGGCTCACTGCCAGAGCTTGTTCCACACTAGTGTTTGCTCCCTTTCTCCTCCTGCACTTTTACCAGAGTATTCGGGGGAGGATCTCAAGACCAACTCTTCCCCTGAGCTTCCCGCTCTCCTTCTGCCATTCCTTTTTATTAGTCACCCAGCTCCTCCTCAGCTGGGTCTCATCCTTCACTGGGCCAGCCATGCCCAGTCGTTTCCACCATGTGCCTTAATTGAGCTCTCCAGCTCCCTCTAACTCTGTCAGTGCCAGATTGGATATACACCCCACCACAGTAGGTATGTGTTAGAGCAGGCCTACCTGAGGAGAGTTTAGCATGAAATTTTAAATCTGCCCCTCACAGCAAGTGTGGTGCAAAGCAGAAGGCATGGATGACTGGCACCTCCCCATACTGAAGGGGGCACAATCTAAAGGAGAGGATATGTGATTGCCCCACATGTCCTCTGCCTAGTGACTCCCCTGTCTTGCGCCCCAGGGGACTGCTGCACTCTCCCCACCCCACACTACCTGCCTGGGGGGAGGCCTCTGTCCCTCTCTTCCTGTGTCTCCCTCCCCGGGGCCAAGCATGGAGGGAGGGGCTCTGGCTCACTCGGCCCCTATCCCAGGCAGCAGAGCGTTGGATTTTAGAGGACATAGTCTCTCCTTGTCCCTTTGGATTCCCCAGATGTCTCTCTGGGGCCAGAATTGCAGGACGGTGAGGAAGGGAGCCCATGCCAGCAAACAGAAGCAGGGTCCACTAAGCAGCTTTCACAGCTACGTTCAGGGTGGGCCAAGATGGAGTAGGCAGTCCTAGGCAGGTTGTGTGCTGAATCAGAGCAGGCGGGGACAGATGGAGGCTCCACTGTGAGAAGTGAGCAATGAAATTGCAGGATCTCCCACCAACTGAGGGGTCAGGGAAGACCTGGGACAGCAATGCAGGGAGGGAGAGCTCAGTGGTTTGAGGATTGACCTGCTAAACCCAGGGTTGTGAGTTCAATCCTTGAGAGGGCCATTTAGGGATCTGGGACAAAAATTGGGGATTGGTCCTGCTTTGAGCAGGGGGTTGGACTAGATGACCTCCTGAGTTTCCTTCCAACCCTGATATTCTATGATTCTATGAATGCACCCTGCTTCAGCACCAAATGAGATGATGGGGATGGCAGAGGCCCCTGGTGAGTCAGAAAGCCCCCATGTCTGATGGCCAGGAAGCTGGAAGCTGCACCCAACACCATTAGTAATGACAAATGAGCCTAACTGCTGATCTCAGAAAGAGAAGGGGGCATATTTGGCCACCAGCCTGACTGGGGTAGCCCTACCAGTTCTGGCCTCTGTTAGCATGGAGGAGCTTGGCAATTACCAAGCCCTGTGCCCAGATGGGAAGCAGGCAAAGGGGCCACATCTAATTCCAGGCACACCGGACACAAATGGCTGAGATGCTCCTAAGTCTCCCTAGGGATCTGCAGGGGCTGGTGCAGGTGGCTTCTCTAATGGCTCCTGTGGCAACACTGGTGGACTAATGCAGATTGTGTATCCTAGAGTTACCACACAGGGCAGCCCTAAATACTGGCCTGCACTGAGAGTCGTGGAAAGGGTTGCTTACTACACTACAGCACCAGGGATGGTCACTGATATGGGGGTGCCAGCATGCTACTCTAAAGTACAGAGTGTCACAGTAGGCCTTTTTGTTTAGACTAATTCAGTATGTCTGTTTCTTTTTTTTTGCACCATTTACCAAAAAAAACATGTTCATAGAATCATAGAAATGTAGGGCTGTAAGGGACCTTGAGAAATCATCAAGTCCAGCCTGCTGTGCTGAGGCAGGACCAAGTAAATCTAGACCATCACTGTCAGGTGTTTAGCCAACCTGTTCTTAAAAATCTCCAGTGCTGAGGATCCACAACATCCCTTGGAAACCTGTTCCAGAGCTTAGTTATCCTCATAGTTAAAAAGTTTTGCCTAATATCTAACCTAAATCTCCCTTACTGTAGATTAAGTCCATTACTTCTTGTCCTAGCTTCAGTGGACCTGGAGAACAATTTATCACCTTCCTTTTTATAACAACCCTTAACATATTTAAAGACTGTTATCAGGTCTTCTCTCAGTCTGTGTTTTTCAACCTTTCCTCATAGGTCAGTTTTCTAAACATTTTATCACTTTTGTTGCTCTTCCCTGAACTCTCTCCAGTTTGTCTACATCTTTTCTAAAGTGTGGCATCCAGAACTGCATGCAGTATTCCAGCTGAGGCCTCACCAGTGCCAAGTAGAGGGACAATTATTTCCTGTGTCTTGCATATGACACTCCTGTTAATACACCAGAGAATTATATTATCCCTTTTTGCAACTGCATCACATTGTTGGCTCATCTTCAATTTGTGATCCACTATAACCCCCATATCCTGTTCAGTAGTACTATCACCTAACCAATTATTCCCCATT